GGTAAGTAATCATAATCAGATACTTCTGGATCAGAGGAGGATTCTCTCCATTCTTGGGGTATCTTAGAAGTATCAAGATTAGGATCCAAGGAGATTAGAGTGAGAGAGTGAGAAAGGTGAAGAGGGTGTTTCATCTCCATTGGTAACACATGACATCCCCTGTGAAACTCCAAATTGCAAGTAGAACAGTAGTAATGGTACCTTTTTCCCTCCAACTGTTCGCCTTTGCAGGCGAAACACACAGAGAATGTATGTTTGTAATCTCTAAGCCGGATAAGCTTGTGGGGCTGAACGTAATCGGACAAAGGACATGTGTGTTTAGATCGCTTCTGGTGCGGCTGGCGCAAGTCCCAGTTTCTGGGAATCTTGTGCGGTGGTTTCATATGTGTTTGTTTAGAAGAAAATAAATGAAGAAGCAAATAAGACTATGTCTTTCTGCAAGTCAAAAAAATTTATATCATACCCCAAGTTTATCTTCTTGTAAGATCTATCCACAAAATATCTATATTTAGCATCAGAATGCTCTAAAGTCAACTACCCTCAAGTGATAGATGTAGTAATAATTCTTTGTATAATTATATGTTCTAGATGTGAGTAATCATGTAATATTTATAAACTGAAAAATTAAATACAATAAGGGTAGCATTTAATTTTCTTTGTCTCTCATTAAGACTTTCGTAATTAAAATATGTGCATAGTCAGTCTTTGTCATGTGACCAAAAGCAAAAAGTCAGTCTTTGTGTGCATAGTTTGTATTAAGAACGAGTCTTTCTTAATTAAATTATTATTTTCAATTTTGGTTTGTAAGCATCAACTTATTGATTTAGAGAAGATGTCAAGACACATAGTTTAGCTACATTGACCAAGCACCTACCTAAATGTACCTCCACAAATGCTATGAATGTATTAAGGTTTGATAAGAAGACAAAATGAGGCTTACCATGCTCTGTTTATCTGTCCTCAAACATGGAACTAATGCTAAGAAGAAGGGAAGCGACGAGTAACCTGAATCGCTCGAAGGCAGATCACTTTTTATCTCAGTATCAAAACCCCCAGGTTCTCTATTATACCCGTCTGCCATATCAAACAACAAAAAAATCGAATCAATGAAAGCAAACTCCCAAAACCACGACCTGCACATACAACATTGAAGACATTCTAGCTAGCTATTGCAATGGCACGGAGAGCACTTACTTGAAAGAACAGTTTCAGAACCAATTTCAAACAACATTACATGAAAGTTCTCGAAAGAGCAGTACGTGTGCTCACCAAACAAGGTATTGACAGAAGTTAGGGTGGAGTGGATTTTGCTTAAGGGAACAAGCCTTCCTCTATTTGTCTAATTTAACTTCAATCTTAGGAGATTTGACAAGAAGAGAGCTTAGCTCAGTAACATAGCTTCCCAAGTCAGAACCAGAGCGAGGCTCTTCTTCTCCACTCTTCTCTTCCCCTTGGTTTGATGTCAGAGTTTCATAAAACAGTTTCATTGCGTCTTTCGTAGAGAGAGCATACACAGAATTGTGTAACTCCTGAAACTTGTCTCTTGTCTCTTGTTCATCGCTCAGCTTCTCTCTAAGATCATCCGGTAGGAAAGCCAACGCACTTTAAAAAAAAAAATATATACAAGTTTCAGACAATTACTCGATATATGGCATCATCAGATTCGTACAAGCGCACGGCTAATTACCTGGAAACACCTCTAACAATACCAAACTTGTATCCATCAAGAACTGATTCTTTATAGCCAATGTTGTAACCTTCTTGCGAAGCAGCTTCTTTCCCGGCGATAATCCCATCGCGGTATCCAGACTAAGATATCGATTTCAGCAGACAATAGTAAGACAAAGTTGTTCAAAACTCAAAACCATCTTCACAAAAGAATGAATATACCTCGTTGTATTTCTTCTGCCTACACTCCCATTCCCTGTCCAACAAGCGAGCATCACTTGGTTCTTGATCATCCGGATCTCCGTAAAAGTATTCATCTAAATCCTCAGGAGCTTGATCATCATTACCTTAAAACAAAAGAAAAAAAAGAAATCTAACCAGCAAAAAGATTATCCTTTTGATTAAACTAATGCTTCTCTAATCCTTAACAATTGAGTCAACACGAGATTCAACATATCCAGTGCATAGAACAAGGATTGAACATCTGAGCAAAGCACAATACTTTGAACGTTAACTATGAAGGTAAAGATGGATTACTCACCAGGTTTCGAAAGATGTAAACTTTGTCCATAAAGCTCACTGGCGAGATTTAATTTCACCTCTGAAAATGGTGGAGAATCAGTAGTGATTAGATTGAGTCAGGAATATGAGCGAACATGTGGTAGGCGATTTGTGAAACTTAAACATGTGAAATGAAAAATTGGTATCATATAAAAGAAATAAACCTTGAGGCGGATCCATGGTTTGAGCAAAGGACGTGAGAGCCCAGAGAGAATCAGAGGGATGACGATGATCGTTGATGGCCACTAGGTCAGGATTACGGATTTTCCGATCTTTCTTCCCTTCTTTTCTCAGAAAATCAA